ACAATCACAGACAACCCATACGTGCGCACACGCGCGCGCACACACACGCACACACACACACACACACACACACACACACACGCACACACACACACACAGCCATGTACTGTGAACACACTAGCTCAATCTGTCAGTCCTGTGAAACCACGGTTTGAGAAAGCCAACTCAACCAACACAATCAGAAGACTGGCCAGAAGCGAGTAAGGAACAGCACAGACACTGCCCACGCTGTTCCTGACAGGCAACTCAGCACTCAGCAGCACTGCTAGTCACACAAGCCATCTCCAGGGAACTCCTCAGCCTGGGGACCAACCCTTGGGGACCCACAGTGAGAGGCCAGGGGCTGCTGATGGGGATCACCTTCCTATTTCTGGAAGAGCCTCGACTGCCTTTCACCTTCAAGAGGCAGAACACACGAACACTGCCAGCTCCTAGTTCTTCCACTGCCGAGACTGGACAGGGCCAGCATGCTTCTCAGGCAAACACCTCCATTCAGCAGGTCTGAGGGAAATGAGAACCCACTTGCCACTAGAAGACAGAAAACTCATCGTGGTCTCCACTTCGCCCTCCTGTGAGTCGGCTCTGGGAACTATGAGCTACACAAGAGTGTGGACACAGACTGTAAGGAATGAGGAACTGAGTCAATGGCAACTCGAATACTAGGATCCAACATCCTTCACGGCTCTCCCTAGGCGACAACTAGTCTTCGACCTTTTTTCTCTCATTCAGAGTCCACGAAATTTGAGCCATAAAGGACTTCAGAGTGTATTCAAATTAAATCCATTTTTTATAATTTGAAATTCCTTTTTAAAAAGATGATTTATTTTTATTTTTTTGTGCATTGGTGTTTTGCCTGAATGCATGTCTATGTGAGGGTGTCAGATTCCCCTGAAAACAGAGTTACAGCTATGAGCTACCATGTGGGTGATGGGAATTGAACCCAGGTCTCCTGGAAGAGCTGAGCCACCTCTCCAGCCCGAAATCCTTCCTTTTAAGGAAGAAGAAACTGAGGCCCAAGGTCACACTGCGAGAGGGGCAAATCAAGGGCATGAACCTGTTTCTGTGAACTTCAGTCAAGAACTGTTTCCAGTAAACCACGGTGCTCAGCGGGGTTCTGAGCTCCAGTCCCCTTCGGATTTTTCCACCCGCGACCCCCATCCTCACCTACCCAACCCTTCTAGCCCCCAATTCCCTCCGGATCTCTCGCGTCCCGAAAAGCCCCGCGGCACGCTAAGCTCACTGCACCAAGGGTTTCCGCACGCGCTTCAAACCTCCCACCCACCCAATTGCTCTCGGCTTCCCCCGGCTGGCTCGCCCGCCCGCCCGCCCGCCCGCTCCCAGGCTGCACCCCGGCCCTCGTCGGGCCCGCCCGCCGCAGGCCCCGCCCCTCGCCGCCCCGCTTCCCCGCCGTGGCTGCACACACGCCCCGGCCCTCTCACCGGTAAAGCCGCTTGGTGTGGAGGACCTTTGCTTCGGGCTCGCCGCTCTCCACTGGCGGGGGGCCTTGGCTCATGGTGCCTGGGCCCGGGGGCAACTCCTGGTCACAGGCCCCCGCCACCCACCGCTGGTTCCTCCACCGCCGTCTCCAGCCGTAGCCGCAGCCGCCACCGCCGCCGGCCCTGCTCGGCCGCCATCGCTGTGAGGCGGCTGCCTGAGATGGCTCCTCCTCCGCCTGTCAAATCTCGCGATAGCTGCCGCAAAACTGCGGATCAGTGACCGCTCCACCAAATCTCGCGAAAAATTGTTTTCTCTCCGGGAAGTTCCTCGGACTTATTCTGGGCAGCATGGTTTCTGCTGGGCCATTCTAAAGTCCTTGAGGGACATTTTATTGTCAAAGATGTCAGAGAAACCGGGCGTACTAGAGCAGACTTAACGTCCTACCACTTAGGGAGCCTAAGCAGCCTGCGGCAAGTTCCCAGCCCGGTTTCCTAGCGAGACCCTGTTTCAATAAATAGATAAATTTTTAAAAAGAGCGCCTTGGCGAGGTGACTCGGCGGATAAAGGCGCTTGCGGCCAACCTAAGCTCGACCCCTGGAACCCACGTGGTGTAAGGTGAATCCACTCGGGCACGCGTGCTCCAGGGCATGCCCCACCCCTTGATAAAATGAGATTTTTTTTTTTAAATTAGTTTCGGGGCTGGAGAGATGCTCAGTGGTTAAGAGCATTGCCTGCTCTTCCAAAGGTCCTGAGTTCAGTTCCCAGCAACCACATGGTGGCTCACAACCATCTGTAAAGAGGTCTGGCGCCCTCTTCTGGCCTTCAGGCATACACACAGAATATTGTGTACATAATAAATAAATATTTTTAAAAAATTAGTTTCAAGGGCTGGAGAGATGGCTCAGAGGTTAAGAGCACTGCCTGCTCTTCCAAAGGTCCTGAGTTCAATTCCCAGCAACCACATGGTGGCTCACAACCATCTGTAATGAGGTCTGGTGCCCTCTTCTGGCCTGTAGGCATACACACAGAATAATGTATACATAATAAATAAATATTTTTTTTAAATGTTTTGTTGGTTTTGTTTTTTTTTTTTTTGAGACAGGGTTTCTCTGTGATAAATAAATATTTTTAAAAAAAAAATTGGTTTCAAGGGAAGAAAAAAAAAGAGAGAATGGAGTGCTCAGCTCTAAATGGGACAACTGGAGGCTGGAGAAGTGGTTCGTAGGACCCAGTCATGACAAGCTGGGTAGGCCTGAGTCTCAATAGTTTACAAACCTAAGGCAATACCTGCTTCCGAGAAACACCACAAACTGAGACCACCTAGGAACAGATCATCCAAAGGAAATTCCTAACATTCCAACTCTTGTAGATAGGATCACCTGCCAGCACACACCCATAGCTTTTCACCAGGACACCCCTAGACAAATGTCAGCCAATTGGGGTCCTGAACCTTAGAGATCTCTCACCCTCACCTGTGCCCAACCCTAACTGAGCTGGGGCTCTCCCATCACTCCAGTACGTTGGACACACAGAGAGTCCGAGTTTGCAAACTTGTGTAAGAATAAAGGCTCTTTGCTTTTACATACAGAACTCAGTCTCCTAGTTGGTTTTGGGGGATTCTGTGATCTGGGCCTAACAGGCTCAGTGGTTAAGAACACTAGCTGCTCTTCCAGAGAACCCACATCCAATTCCCAGCACCTACATGAGCTCACAACCTTTTGTAACTCCAGTTCCAGGGGATCCGACACCCTCACGCAGACAGACATACATGCAGGCAAAACACCAATGCACGTCAAATAAAAACTAATTAGTTAGGACAGCTACCCCAAGACACAGAAATGATGGAGGAAGAGGAGCAGTGAAAAGGTTTTAAGAGTCTGAGGTAGCAGAGCGCTGCATCTAGACAGTATTTTCCAGACACAACAGAATGGTTGCACACAGGAACTTAACACCCATGACTGCATGGAGTCCAGGCATGGGTGTGGGGAGGAGCACTAGAAGTTGATGGCTGCTGGGGGAGGAGCCGTGGCCACCAGAGACACTAGATTCAGGTATTCCGCGTGTATATGTGTGGTGGCATGTGTTCCACCACGGCACACCTGTGGTTGACAGAGAACTTGGGGAAGTCCCTTTTCTCCTTCCACAATGTAGTTCCTAGGGGTTGGGGATTTAGCTCAGTGGTAGAGGGCTTGCCTAGCAAGTGCAAGGCCCTGGGTTTGGTCCTCAGCTTCAGAAAGAAAAAAAAAAAAAAACAACACAATGTAGTTCCTAGAGATCAAATTCAGATAATTAGACTTGGCAGTAAGTACCCTTACCTAATGAGCCATTTTGCCAGCCCTAACCATAAACCTAAGCTAAGGTGTCTGGGGTCCTGTATGTGTATATACTGCTATGCTCCTGGCTCCGGGCCCACAAGCCTTCCTTTTGTTTTGTTTTTTTTTTTTTTTTTTTTTTTTTTTTGGTTTTTTTGAGACAGGGTTTCTCTGTGGCTTTGGAGCCTGTCCTGGAACTAGCTCTGTAGACCAGGCTGGTCTCGAACTCACAGAGATCCGCCTGCCTCTGCCTCCCGAGTGCTGGGATTAAAGGCATGCACCACCATCGCCCGGCCTTCCTTTTGTTTCTGAAACAGCCTGAAGTCTTTTCCATCTGCTGGGCTTTGGCTTGCTGTTCCTCTACAAGGATCAGTCAGAAACCTGAATGACCACTGGGTTTCAACTTTTGAAGATTTCTTATGTATAGTGTTTTGGAATGCATGCCTACACGCTAGAAGAGGCACCAGCACCAGATCTCAGTACAGATGACAGCAAGCCACCATGTGGTTGCTGGGAAATTAACTCAGGACCTCTGGAACAACAGCCAGTGCTCCTAACCTCTAAGCCATCTCTCCAACCCCTAAATGTCACTTTAAAGAAGCTTTCCCTACTGAAATTCTCTCACTGATTCAGTGTGATTTTGTGTTGTGTTTCTCTGTAGCTTTGGAGCCTGTCCTGGAACTTTCTCTGTAGACCAGGCTGGCCTTGAACTCAGGGATCCTCCTGCATCTGCCTCCCAGTGTTGGGATTAAAGGTGTGTGCAACCTTCACCCAGCTGAATAGCGCATTATTAATAACAGATACTCAATAAACATTTACAGAATGAACAAATTTGCAAATATCATCTTTTTCCCAACTTCCTCTAAGTACCCTTTGTCATACAATCCCATGTTTTCCCTGATGCCTTCCTGACCTGGAAGCTCTTACACATCCAGAACATCTAACATCCACGCCTCAATGTCCAGCTGCACCCTTACTTTGAAATAGGATGCCCTCCTCCTGTAGAGCTCTGTCAGCTGGCAGGTTCTGTAGGGCAGGGCCTGCGCCTTTAATCTGAGCCCCACCTGCTCTGGTCAGACAGGTTTGGAGACACAGGTAAGGGGAGGGAGACTGGGAAATACTTGCAGAGCCAGGTAGGAGCGGGGCAGTTCCTTTCTGGGGATCCTCGTCTCTCCCTCTCCGTGGATGGAAAGTAAGAGGGTATCTTGGGTCCAAAGGGCCAGGGTAGGAGGGGCCCTAGAAGTGAAAGAGGAAAAAGAGCCCAGACCAGAAACAGTGAACTGGAGAGTGGCAGGGAGGAAAGAAAGACAAGGGAACAGCCTCACTAGAGTTGGAAGTCTGAGTGGGGCCCAGCCCTGTTGAATTGGGTGAGACTGGCAAGGGTGGGGGAGTTCAGAAAATGACTGGTTTCTGGACTGGGGACTAAGGAACTGAGTATCTGGCCACTGGTACCAGCTGCTAACAGAGTTCCAGGCTGAGATCTGCAGGGCAAAGGGCAAGTGGAAGGGTGAAGGGGCAGTTTCTCCATAGAATGATTCTCAGTTGTAAAGAAGTTCTTCCCATTCCATGGCCATGAATCCGGGGGTTTTGGTGGAGAGCGTAGAAGGCAGGTGTAGGCGTAGGCTGAGGTCACAGCTGCCAGGGCTTGTGCCCCCTGACTCACCCTTAGCCCTGCCTCTGCCACCGCCCTCTGTCTCAACACCTTCCTCCGCACTGTGTTCTCCCTAGAGTCCCATGAGGCCGGCTGCCCTGGTGCAATCCAGTTTGAGGAACTGTCCTGGGGCCAGAAGACAAGGTATTTTCACAGAACTTACCCCACTCCCTTTAGGATGATATCATCTTGGGGTAGACCTCAGAACTGAAGCCTCACGATGACAGAACAGGAGACACTGGCCCTGCTGGAAATGAAGGCACCTGAGGCTCCAGAGAAGAGCTTACCACGAGCTTTAGCCCCCACTGACCGGCAGCTGGAGGGAGAAGATGGGACTGAGTCCCCTGGAGCTGAGTCTCTCAGACTGGGGTCTTCAGTTGGTTCCCCTACAGTCAGAGAGGGGCCCGAGGATGGTCCAGACAGCACTATCAGTGAAGCCGCGACTTTGCCTTGGGGAACTGACCCCCAGTACATCGTCCCGCTTCCAGATCCCCCAGGCTGGCGAGATATTGAACCAGAGCCCTTAGAGTTGGAACCACTCCCTAAGTCGGAGGAACCGCTCCCTAAGTCGGAGGAACCGCTCAAAGATGATGCCAGTTTGCTCCCTGAGAAGTCAGTTAGGGCCTTCGTGCCTATTGATTTACAGTGCATTGAGCGGAGGCCGCAGGAGGAGTGCATTGTGCATCGTAAGGCCGGACAGGCTGAGCGTAGGAATTTCCTGCCAACCCGACTCAGCCACCATGAGCTTCCAGAGCGCAAGTGGGCTGAGGCAGTTGTGAGACCCCCTGGCCGGTCTTGTGGGGGCTGCGGGAGCTGTGGAGGCCGCGAGGCGCTGAGGGCTGTAGGCTCGGTGGCTGCTGCTCTCATTTTCTTCCCCTGCCTGCTGTATGGAGCTTACGCCTTCCTGCCCTTCGATGCTCCGAGGCTGCCCACCATGAGTTCCCGCTTGATCTACACCCTACGCTGTGGGGTCTTTGCCACCTTCCCTATCGTACTAGGTGAGTCTGGGCGGTGGAGAAGGGTTACCTGGGAAGAGAACTACAGAGACTTGGTTAGGGTACTTTCTCTTCATTCTGTTGGAACGGTTCAGGGCACCTCAAACCTGCAACTCTGCTCCCTCTCTTCCAGAGAGCGTTTGTGATCCCTCTGCAGTCTTGACCCAGGAGCCGGCCTGCCGTTTCTGACCCCCGTGCTTCCTCCCCTGCAGGGCTCGTAGTGTACGGCCTGAGCCTGCTGTGCTTCTCCGCCCTCCGGCCCTTTGGAGAGCCGCGGCGGGAAGTAGAGATCCACCGGCAGTACGTGGCCCAGTCCGTGCAACTCTTCATCCTCTACTTCTTTAACCTGGCCGTCCTTTCCACCTATCTGCCCCAGGACACCCTCAAACTGCTGCCTCTGCTCACTGGTCTGTTTGCTGTGTCTCGGTGAGTAGGGGCTGTGGTGGCCACGGTTGGGGAGGCGTGAGGAAGTGAAAGTGCCAGAACCTCCAGGGGCTGAAGGTCTGGAGAACGGAAGCCTGAGGATTTCTGCGCGCACACTTGTCTTCACTGGGAAGCAGGCGCTCAGCTCCCTTCTCCTTCAGAAGCTGCTCTCAGAGGTGTGCCAATAGGGAGCTTCTGAATGTTGTTTACTTTGGTACAGAGACTCATCTAAGCACAGGACTGACCATCCTACTCCTAACCTCAGGTGGAATTTAGTGCGTCCCCTGAAGGTACTCCTCTAGTCTGTGACACTCTAGTCAAAAAGCTTTAAAAATTGGCTATGTGCGACATTTTCTGCTTTATTTTGATTGAGGCAGTCACCATCTCACCATGCAGCCTGAACACAAACTCTTGGTGGTAATCCTCCTGTCTCACCCTCTCCAGTGCTGGGATCACCACCACACCCCCTTCCAGGTTTAAGCATTCTAATTGCTAGAAAGTTCTCTTTTTTTCTTTGTTTCTTTTTCCTTCCTTCCTTCCTTCCTTTCTCTTTTTCTGAGACAGGGTATTTCTTTGTAACAGCCCTCGCTGTCCTGGACCAGGCTGGCCTCGAACTCACAGAGATTCACCCGCCTCTACCTTCCAAGTACTGATATTAAAGGCTGCAACGCCACTGCCCCATGAAAGTTCTTTATTACGCAGTGCTGGAAACTGCCCTAAAGCTGATGTAGTAGCTCACTCGGGTCTGCAATCACAGTACTTAGGGGGCTGAGACAAGAGTTCAAGTCAACCTGAATTGCATAGTGAGTTCTGGGTCAACCAGTACAATACAACTACGACCTTGTCTCAAAAAACAAAATGAGCAGGTGAATCTCTGCATTTGAGGCCAGCCTGGTGTACAGAGTGAGTTCCAGAACAGCCAGGGCTACACAGAGAAACCCTGCCTTGAAAAATAAAATAAAGTGATATGAAATAAAGAAACAAATAAATAGACTGCCCTGACCCCGACCTTCATGGTTCAGCCGTGGACAACACAGATGAGTTACTGCACTTGAGCAGCCTCCTCGTCTAGTGGTTAAAGGCTGGGACCCTTGGAGCCCACTCCAGCGGGCAGGAAGTCTGCCTGTTGGTGAGCAGCACTTTCTACCTAGAGGCCAGGTCACCCTCACGGCCGCCCCACTTTTCTTTCATTCAATTTGAGTCATCAGTGAATATTATTTTATTTTATTTTTTGGATTTTCGAGACAGGGTTTCTCCGTAGCTTTTTGGTTCCTGTCCTGGAACTAGCTCTTGTAGACCAGGCTGGTCTCGAACTCACAGAGATCCGCCTGCCTCTGCCTCCTGAGTGCTGGGATTAAAGGCGTGCACCACCACCGCTCGGCCTAAATTTTATTTTTATTGAGACAGGATCTCAAAATGTAGCCCACACTGGCCTGAAAATCTGTAAATCACATAAATGAACATTTAATTGTAATTTAATTAAAAATGAAATTAATTTGACTCACTTTAATTTTAAATAGTAAATAAAAGAGAAGACAGGGAATAATATTCTCACTTCAGAGATGTGGGAAAGTAAACATTGTATGTTCAATACATATAAACCGGATGTTTGTAGTAGTACCAGTCTTGGCACCCGCTCCCAACTGGTCTCCCGCTGTCTGCTTCTGAGATTTAGCCAGATGGGCCCTGGAGAGTAGATAACCTTTGTCATGCTCCCACAGGCTGATTTACTGGCTGACCTTTGCTGTCGGCCGCTCCTTCCGAGGCTTTGGCTACGGGCTGACTTTCCTGCCGCTGTTGGCCATGCTGATGTGGAACCTCTACTACATGTTCTTGGTGGAGCCGGAGCGCATGCTCACTGCCTCGGAGAGCCGCTTGGACTATCCGGACCACGTTCGATCCCTCTCTGACTACAGGTCACGCTCATGGGGCTGAGCTGCCCTAGGGCTGTGTAGGGGTCTTTCAGCACCTCCATGAAACAGTTGCAGGCCTGGCCTTTGCCCGGATCATAGACCTTAGATGGGAGGTACCTTGCTACTTAGGGGCCCCATCCAAAGGAGCCCAGACACCCCAGTTCTCTTCTAGTTGTGCTGTACCCCTGGAGTGCGAGAGCCTAAGGCAGAGACTGGAGAAGTATACTCCTTTTTGGGCAGCCCTCCACCGTGCCAAGCCAAGGCTAAGGTCCCAGCTTCCTGTAGACCAGAGGTGTAGAACCACAGGCCAACCTGAACTGTCTGCCTAAGCCCAAGCGTAGAGGTTGGTTCTCATCAGACAAGGACTTTGCCATCGTTGACATGAGGTGAAAGCCTTCCTAAGGGGCCTGTCTCGGTCAAGCTGTGACCTTCCTCCTCCCAGCCTACATGGGTTCCTATAACCTTCCACTTTGCAAACTTCCAGGAAGTACTAAGGTTTTTTTTTTTTTTTTTTTTTTGGGGGGGGTTTTCGAGACAGGGTTTCTCTGTGGTTTTGGAGCCTGTCCTGGAACTAGCTCTTGTGGACCAGGCTGGTCTCGAACTCACAGAGATCCGCCTGCCTCTGCCTCCCAAGTGCTGGGATTAAAGGCGTGCGCCACCACCGCCCGGCTTAGTACTAAGGTTTTAAAAAAAAGGTGTGTGGGGGGATTTGGGGTGGCAGAGAGATGAAACCTCCAAAAGAACTGTGGATGGATTCCCATGTAGTGGCTGGGATGGCAATGACTACTTGTCCAGTATGTATGTGCGAGTATGTAATAAATCATGGCCTGCTTCCCATGGCTCGTTCTTCCTGCTAACCTCCCCACCCCCAGGACATAAGTCACCTCCTGGCATCAAGATCAAGGGGTGGAGGGTGCTTCACAAGAGGCTTAGGGAGAGACCACTAGGATTGGCGAGAAAATGTGCCCTCAAATAGAAGTTGCCTATTGCCTTGGAAGTCTGTCTCTCACTCTTCCCATTTGCTGGACCTAGCCTGGCATGATGGCACAGGCCTTTAATCTTGGCGCTTGGGAGGTAAAGGCCAGGGGATCTCTGAGTTTGAGACCAGCCTGGTCTACAGAGTGAGTTCCAGGACAGCCAGGGCTACACAGAGAAACCCCGTCTCAAAAAGAGAGAAAGAGATCGGAATCTGGACTGGAGACATGGATGGCTCCGTGGTTAGGAGCACTTGTTCTAGCAAAGGACCCTGGTTCAATCCCCATTACCTGTATGGTGGTTTACAACCATCTGTAACTCCAGTTCCAGGGGATCTAGTGCCTTCTTTTGACCTCCACAGGCAATACTCTCTCTGTCTCTCGTGCACGCACATACAAATGTAGTGCACATCCACACAAGCAGGCAAAATATTCACACATATAAAATACATAAATCTCATTTAAAAATAAGAGAGAAGTTGAAATCTTTTTTGGGAAAAATATGTCTATTTCATGCACCTTAGGGCAGCCAACCAGGCGCTCACTGTAGGCCTTCAAGTCTTACCCAAGGGAAAGGAGAGTGGTAAATGACAGAGAAGGAACATCAAGGGGGCCCTTCCTTTTCCCAGTAATTCTAGCCTCTCCCAGGGAGCCCCAGTAAGCTGAGGCTGGCTTTTGAGGTTCTGCAGAAAAGCAAATGACAACACTGCCCCTCTCCCCTCCAAGGTGTGAGGCACAGCAAGGCATGTGGTCCTGCCCCTCCATCTGCAGTTCAGTTGATGGACTGGTACTCAGAATACAGCTTGTGTCGCAGCAGCAGAAACAGGCCTCCACCCAGCAACAGGAGCCCTGGAGTTCCCAGGGCCACTGCCATGATTCCAAGGACCAGTGGAGATAAGGAGTCCACTGGAGGGACACCCACTCCCAGAAGCATTGACCTAGAGCAAGAAGGTTTTAAAAAAAGGAGGTGAGCAAGCTTAGGAAGGAAGGCTGAGGGGCTCAGCCCTTCTCCACATTGACCTCCCCAAATCCTTGGTTCTTACCAGGAGAGGTAGTGTTCGTCCCAGTAGCCAGGGCCTGTGGGAGCCCCAAATGTCAGAGTGAAGGCACAGAAGTTTTTCTGGGACCCAAAGAAGGCTTGGACAACAGGTGAGCGAGGGAGCGAATGTGCCAAGGTGTAGTTAAGGGAGGACACCTGGCAGGGGAGGGCTGATTCTCGACCCCGCTGCTTCTGAGAGAAAGCCACTGGTCGCCATTGCATGAAGCCAGATGGTGAAGAGTCCCACAACAACTGGTCCAGCTGGAGAGAAAGGCCACAGAGGCAGAGAGATGAACCCACCTGTGCCAGCCTCTCCCAGATTACTGCAATGAGGCCAGCAAGCATCCCCAGTGCTAAGTGTCGTTCTAGGATGGGCATTGCCGGTTGTGGCAGGGCCCAGTCCTCTCTACATAGAGTAGAGAGATGAGCAGAGTCACAGCCTTGCTCTTTTGCCATTGCTCCCTCTGGGCCCCGGGTCACAGAGAATCCCATCTGAAGACCATGAAGCACTGCTTTTGCCTGCTTCCTTGGAGGGCAGAGATGTCAGGTGATACATCAGTACAGCCCAACACTAAAAGCATCCAGACAGAGTATTGTTAATAAACGGGGACCATATGTGGTGGTGCGTGCATTTAATCCCAGCTCTCAGGAGGTAAAAGTAGATGAACCTCTGTAAGTTCAAGGCCAGCCTGATCTAGATAGCAAGAGTTCTAGGTCAATCAGAATTATATAGGGAGGGGCTGGAGAGATGGCTCAGTGGTTAAGAGCATTGCCTGCCCATCCAAAGGCCCTGAGTTCAATTCCCAGCAACCACATGGTGGCTCACAACCATCTGTAATGAGGTCTGGTGCCCTCTTCTGGCCTGCATACATATGCACAGACAGAATATTGTATACATAATAAATAAGTAAATATATTTTTAAAAAAGAACTATATAGGAAGCCGGGCGATGGTGGCGCACGCCTTTAATCCCAGCACTAGGGAGGCAGAGGCAGGCGGATCTCTGTGAGTTCGAGACCAGCCTGGTCTACAGAGCTAGTTCCAGGACAGGCTCCAAAGCCACAGAGAAACCCTGTCTCGAAAAACCAAAAAAAAAAAAAAAAAAAAAAAAAAAAAACTATATAGGGAGACCCGATTAAAAACAAAACAACAAACAAACAAACAAAATCTTTTAAAAATAAGGGGCAATGGGGCTGAAGAGATGGCTCAGAGGTTAAGAGCACTGACTGTTCTTCCAGAGGTTCTGAGTTCAATTCCCAGCAACCACATGATGGCTCACAACCATCTGTAATAAAATCTGGTGCCCTCTTCTGGCCTTCAGGGACACATGCAAGTAGAATGCTGTATACATAATTAATAAATATCTTTATAAAAAAAAGGGGGGGCGGTAGCAGCTGGAATGATGGCTTAGTGACCGAGGGCTTGCCAAGGGCTTGCTGCTCTTGCAGAAAACCAAAATCCAGCTTCCAGCACCCACGTCAGGAGGCTCACAACCATTTGTAATTCCAGCCCCAGGGTATCTGATGCCCACTTCTTGCCACCACAGGAACCTATACACACCTGCAAACACACATGCAAAATAACACATTTTTTAAAAAGTAATAAATGGTTGGTTGGTTTTTCTGGGATGCTAACAGGATCCCACTTCATATTCCCAGCCGTCTACTCCCCGTGGAGACCGGACCTGGAAGACAGCAGGTGCGTACTCATCGTCGATGGAGTGCAGCTCTTTCACGGAAGGGCAGCCAAGGCCACTATCCAAGGTGGCCACTTCTAGGCCAAACAGGGAGTGGTTTCCACGAGGAGACGCTCCAACCAGGGCAACTTCTAGCTGGCAGGCGTCTGCGCTGTGCAGGAGGCGAGGGGGCTGGGCAGGTCGGCCAGATCCCGAAAAGGCCTGGACCTAGGGAGGAGGAGGAGGCCATGTGAAGAGAATGGTGCTTGAAGGATACTCCCATCTCACAGATCAGCCTTCTGAGTTCCTTCCCCACAACCTCACCTTGAAGGCCAGGCTGCCATTGGCAAATGCTCCAGTAGGGTCATCTATAGGGTGGCCTTGGAAAGCGGAGCTCAGAATGGTGCGGTCCCAGGAGCTGTTCCAGGAGAACTCAGCCAAGGAGTAGGGAGGGTATTGCTTTCCTGAGGGCTGGGCTGCCCCTTCGGAGACCTTGGTGCTGTCAAATTCAAGCAGCTGGGGACAGGGTGGAGTGGAATTGGGCTTGCCTCCCTCCGACATTCTCCTGCAGATCGCTCCAACTCCACCCACCCTGTCCTTAGCCCTCCCCTCTCCCTTTGGGTAGAAGAAACTTGGTCCCTGTGCTCTTCCCTCTGAGCTTTCGGCCCCCTCACCCTGGTGAAGACAAGAGCAGAAGAAAACTGGATGCTGTCCTTGGGGAGCACCATCAGACCCCCATCGGGATCAGGAGACAGCAGGAGATTCCAGTTGACACTCAGGACACTCTGTGTGGTGTTGGTGGCCACCAGCACCACAGCTGGAGGCCCTAGGGTGCCCCATACATAGTGCAGGGTGGAGTTGGTGCCCACTGCCCTGATATGAAGCAGGTTCTGGGGATTTGGTCCACCGGAAATAACCTCCATATATACCTAGAACATGGGATTGTGGGATGGAGAGAACAAGATCAGGGATGGTCACAGGCAAAGAAGCAGTTTGTGGGTGGAGGACAGGACCTGGGCAATGCCAGGGACGGCAAGGGCCTTTGAGGCCTAGGCAAGAGGGATGTGTGGAAATTGAGGAATCCTGGAATCAGGGGCAGATGTAGGGTTGAGAAGAAATAGGGTAGATCCCAGGATTACCCTGACCTCGGTGAGGCGATCAAGGCTTAGGCCTGAGAAGGCTTTTTAAATCCCCAAACTTCCCTGTTGCTGGGCTCCGATGGCTTGACATCACCAGAAGGCAGGAAGCCGTCATGCATTCTCTCCTCCACAGTCCTTCCCATCACTCATGGCTCCATGCTGGCTCTCTGGGGTCACTCCTCTCTTGCATCCACCCTCCACCCCTTCGTTGCCCCAGATTCCAGTCATTGTAGAAAGGTTGTATTTCTGGAAGCATCTATTACGTTAATTCCAGAACTCTTACCTGGCGAGTCTCTTCTCCCAGCAGGCCAAATGGAGC